TGACTGCTTCTCTTGTTTTTACATCGAAAAAAACAAAAAGGCAAAGATTAGCCCGAGGCAATATGGGATTATGAGGCTTATATTAATATACACACATTCATAACTGTCAGGGCTTTTCTCTCCTCCTCCTCCTCCACCTTAATCCCCCCACACATGGAGAGAGAGAAAGAGAGAAGGGGCAAGACACCACAGAGGAAAAGGAGGGGAATGAAAAAACAGGAAGAAGAGAAAACTGATGAAGAGGGAAAAGAAAGGAGAGGAGGGGAATAAGCAAGAGGAAAATGCAAAAAGATGGAAAATCACAGGAGAGAAGAACAGGACTTTGACACAAAAAGGTGGAGATCAGCACAAGGAAACAAGAAGGAAGGGGTAGGATATAAGGAAACAAGGGAGTATAAGGAAATATAAAGGAAACAGGAAACAGAAGAGATGAAGAAACAAGTCACAATGAAAGCAGGAGGGTAAAAGAAGAAGAAGAAGAAGAAGAGAGAGTAAGGGAGTGAAATGAGAGGAAACAGACAAGTAAAGAGAAGTCAAAGGAAACAACAAAGGAGGAAAGGAAAATGAAATGAGGGTAAATTGAAAGAAATGAGGAAAAGAGATCAGAAGAAAGAAAAGCAGAGGAGGCGAGTGCCAAGGTGGAGTAAGGAGGGCAAAGAAGGAGATAAGAGGTGACGATATAAGCAAAATGGTAATAAGGAAACAATAGGAGGAATTATTGGGAATTATTGGGGGGGGGGTCCACAAATTAATACTGCAGCATGAAAGAAGAGAGAAAAGAAATGAAGAGAGAAGAACCAGCTATGTGATGGAAGAAGCAATAAAGGCGAAATGAAATGAAGAAATGAGAGAGGGCTGGAGAAAAAGTAGAGAGGATGCTTCCTCTGCAATGATTTGGCAGAAGCAGAGAAAGAGGAGGAGAGGTGCATTAGAGACAGAGGGGCAGAGTGAAAGAGTTTTCTGTTTTTAGAGAGGAACCCTTGGAAACAGCAGAACAGGAACTTTGTGAACTCCAAAATAAAAATGTTAACAGAGAGACAGACAGGGCATGACTCAGCTTAAAAAAAGGGAGAAAAAAAACAAAAGTCAGAGTCAAAGAGATTTTCTGTTCCTACCATTGATGTAGTGAGACGGTCTCTGATGGCTTCAATCTAATATGTCCCACACAACTGGATAAAAGGTTGCAGTAAAGGTGCAGGACTGACGTAAGAATGCATCCAAATGCCGTTTCTTGTAACCCATGAGATTGGAGCATGCCGTGGGAATTACAGGTACTGAACGGTAGTTTGAATCATCTCTAACGTGAACAGTTTGTTCATGTTAGAGGAGAGTCCTCTTCACACACAAAGGTTAATCATGGAGTTCCACAGGGTTCTGTACTAGGACCAATTCTGTTTACTTTATACATGCTGCTCTTGGACAGTATCATTAGAAGCCATACCTCAAACATTGTGGTCTTATTGTTGGGGTTTTCTCTGTTTTTGTAGGGTCTTTGAATTTACTGAATTTAAATTTAATTACACAAATACACATATTAATAATAACCAATGTGACTTAAAACTAAGTATAACAAAAGGTGCACAGAAAAGACAAAAAAAAAAAAGCATCTTTATTGCTGGTAATAGGCATGTGACCTCAGCATATACACTCCCACAGTCTGGCTGTTATTTGGTTACCAGTTTCTACTCTGATAATGTACATAGGCCACATGTAAGATAACATTTATCGTTACTGTTGTTGCATAATTCATATCACGGGAGAAATAAAGGCACCGCTTAATGCTGGTAAAAGAAGAAAGCAGGAAGTTGAGTTTTACAGCAAATGAAACGGAAACGATTGGAGAAACATTCAGACACACAGATCCTGGCTGTCTCTGGCTCAGAAATCCATGCATTCAAATGGGAAAGTATAGGAGATATTCGCCTGATGAACGAATTCAGCAGATACGTAGATGCAAATGATCTTCCTTTTTCTTCTTCCCTCCTATGTGACTGTTTTGGGATCAAAGAAAGTCTGTACAGAGAGGAGAAACAGGAGTGTATATAATTATCAGCAGTGTTGTTACTACTTTATTCTTTTATTTTTTTTGCTGTAAAGAGCTCAGAGCCAAATGTGTCCAGGGGCTTTGGGAAAATTCCAGGCAAGAAGCCTCATGTGAGCCACCAGGATTTAGTGTTTGACTGATGATCCTAATTAGATCCTAACGGCAGTCCACAGTGTGCCCAGTCTCCTGGGTGTGACCAGCACTGAATCAAGCACAGACACAGGAGCTCAGATTCTGTGCTACATGAGGCGGCACGGTGGCACAGTGGTAAGGATTATTACTTCTCAGTAAGAAAAATTCTGGGTTTGAACCTCTTGATAGGCTCGGGCCTTTCTGTGGGGTGTGGATGTTTTTTAGTGTCTATTCTTTTAAAGGTTTTATTTCCCTGTATAAAACATAAACAAACAGCTTGTGTGAATGAACTTTGGCTTTTAAAGTGTCGCTTTAACTGTGACCGACTCACCAGATCGAGTTTAAACCTGTAAACTGTAGGTCTCTGCTGGCCTCTGTTGACCACCTCAAATACTGCAACACACCACAGTTCAGTTCAGAGGAGCTCTCTGGGCATGTTTTTGGGTTGTGGGGGAAAACCAGCACATCCAGAGAAAACCCATGTAGGCAAAAGGAGAACATGTAAACTCTCCATAGAAAGGTACCAGCAAGTTTCACCTCTGACAAGGATCTTCCTGTGTCAGGGGTGTTTCTTCTTGTTTTAGTGCTCTATTGGTCTTGATCATTTGACTGCTCAGAAAATCCATGACAGCCACCTTGGTCTTCAAACAGCTCTTCAAAGCTTTGAGGTGTGTTGGGGCTCTTTGGCTTTCTGCTCACAGCTTGAACGCAGAGGGCTGGAGCAGGTCTCTGATGAACATAGTGCTGCTTGGTTACTGCAGGTGTTCCAACTCCCATCAGCCGTCCAGTCTCACCACCTCAATAGTTTGGAGTTGGTTCCTGTCTTGGTTTACAGATACTTCTTTCTCGTAGGCAAACTCAACCTGTAAAAAATGGAGTCTTACTATTTCTGCATGTGTTCATCCGGTAAACATGCTTCCTTTAAGTCTTCCTGATCTTGGTTTGGATACAAATGATCCAGTTTGGTTAAAGTGTTTTAAAGCGCAACCTCTTAGATGCTGTGAATGTCTACTAAAACTTTCTCTTTCAGATTTGTTTAATGTTTCAAATGCCTGAACTCTCTTAGGTAAATATTCTTTCAATTTCTTTTAAAGTACCCTTCAGAAATAGTTCAATCTTCTTGAAGGGCATTCAAACATCTTTTTTGGATGTTGGCTGCCTTTTGTTCTGTTCTCTGTCAGGATGATCCCACACTGCTTTAAAGATGATGTCCGAGCTGTGGGGAGACCCACCTTGAGTGTTCATTGTGTATCTATGTGGCTTTTCTTTCTATCCAGGTATGATTTATTGCATTAGGTGTGTTTGGGATCATTGTCATGCTAAAAACTGAAGCCCATTAGAAACTTTCCTGATGGTACTGCATCACTTTATGTTCATAATTTCATCAGGTTTGGTAAGATCTCCAATACCACTGACTGAAACGTAGACATAAACCACAATAGAGCCTCCACAGGTTGTAGACATTCACTACTGTACATCTCTCCCCTGTATATACTGTGATGACTTGACTTAAAAATGTCAAATTTGATCTCATCACAACATAATAATGTTGCCACTGATTTTCATTGCAGTTCCTTCTGTCATTTGGCATACCTCAGCTCTTTCTCCCTGCGACAGTCACCCTTCAATTCCGCTGAGGATTCGATAAACGGTAGATGATCAACTGAAGGGCCAGAAGAATCTCTCAGGTCCCGTGTCCGGTCTTTTGGATGTTTTGCTGTTTCTTAAGTACATGACTTTCAGGTACCGCTCATCTGCTGTAGATCATTTCAGCAAAAAGCTCTTTAGAATTATTGTGTTGGTGCAAAAATACTATTTTATGGGACTTTTGTTTTGTTTTGTTTTAATCCAGCTAAAGAAATGTGAACACATGATATAGTTTTGCAACAGGCTGCAAAGTGTCTACATACAAAAAGTAAAATTGGATCTCGGTTCTCACTCACACACATTCACACACACACACACACACCCTGTGAACCCAGTGAAATAAAGCAATTCAGCATCTGGGCTTTATCACAAAACAGGTTTAATTTAATATCTCTTTATTTTTTAAAATAATTAAACATTTGTATTTCTCCAACCCTTTTTTATCTTTTTTTTTTTCAGCTTTTAAATCATATTACATCTGGGCCATTCTAAAGCACACATTAATTCTGCAAGGGAGGAGGGGGTGAGGTTCACTGTCAAAGACTCCCAACAGGGCAAAAGTGGTCTGCTCAGTGCCTTCCCTCTACACTCGCCTCCCTCCCCCCTCTGACCCTCTCCTGCCTACCTGCCCTCACCCCTCCCTGCTTTCCTTCCTCCACCCTCCCTCCCCAACTAAAAAAAAAAAAACCAACAAAAAAAACACAAAGAGAAAATTATATATTATATAATATATATTAATATATATATATATATATATATAAATATATAATATATAAATATATATATATAAATATATATATATATATATATATATATATTCAAATGGTCAAAAGAAACTTCATCAAAATATTCAAAATGAGATAAAAACCAAGAGAAGCGGGAGGAGTGAGACAGAAAGAAAAAAGAAACAGACTAAAAGAAGGGGAAACACTATCATAAATACCAGGAAGTTGTTCCATAATACCTCTTTATATACTGGATACTCCTCTCCACAGTTTCCTAAGCAAAAAACATAGGCTAAATTACTACAAGATACAAGATTATCAGTGTACTGCATTCAATAACAATTTACAGGGTTGTCTTTTTTTGTCACTGTTGCTGTAATACTGTGAAGTCAACGCGGCGCCCCCCCAGTGGGCTTAGAGGGACGAGGCGAGAGGGGCGGGAGGTGATGCGAGGCGCTCGTCTTTTCACACGAGGTGTACTTTTCTTTTTTGGCGCTCCTTTGAGGACCCGTTATCATGTGTGTGTGTTGTGTGTCTGTCGTTAGCTGTGAGTCCCCCGTTATGGCCAGACAGTACCAGTGCCAGACTGATACCAGCGATACCTGGTATGGCAGGAGGGACGGGGTCAAAAACAGAGAAGGAACGTAATCAGCTAATGGAAGGTAGCCTTTTTTTTTTTGGAGAGGGGGAAATGAATAGGAGTGTGTTTACATGCAGATGGTTCTGGATTCAAATTGTTTCTGGTTTGTATGTGTTAATCTCTTTCTGTTATAACATCGGGCAACCAGCCACATTGCCAGGGAAGTTAATAAAATGAGATGCTGAATAACTATAAAAGACTCAAAAGAGACACTCGTCTCACGGGACAGGTGAAACAAAAGCACCAGGAGAAAGTTTGCACAAAGCCCCCATCACCATTTCAGTTATTGCTGTGTGGAACATTTATGACTGCACACGGTTAAAGTTTGTTTTGAGCCTTTTTGTTGTTGTTGTTTTTAACATCATCTGTATTGGCACTACCACCAGAGGGCGCCAAAGTAAAGGGGGGAAAAAAGAACCCTACACTTACTGCTCAATTTTCAGCATTTCAAATCCCAAGTTTGACAGTTTTAGTCAGGATTTATGTAGTTATGTACTCTCCTGATTTGCATGGACACACATGTAAACACATTTAAAGAGTCAGTGGTGTGTTTGTGTGCACTGTGAAAGGCCCTGTTGTCCGATTAATGTGTGTTTGTTTGTTCGATTCATTGCCTGTTTTAAACAGGAAGCAGAATTTGCAGACAGGTTGGTGAGGCCAGGGAGATTAGGGGTGTCCTTTGGATGGAATGGGGCGACTGTGATTGGTTCACTTGGGGCCTGGTAAGACCGAGAGGGAACAGAAAGATGGAGGCAACAAGAGGAAAAGCAAAGAGGAGAACCAAGAAAATAAAAATGACATATGGGACTACACTGAAGAAGACTGGGGTGAAGAGTTAAAATCAATCTAACCTCTCTTTTTTTTGTTTTTTTTTAATATTTTCCAAGGGTTCATTCCATGTCCTACAGTCCAAAAAGTTTTTTTTCTTGTTTAAATTCCCCTCCCACACAAGTGATTTTCTCATTTTCTATTTTTTTCTTCCTTTTTTATTATTATTATTACTGTTTTGTTTTTCCATTTGCAATAATATCAGTTTAAGGGAGAAAAAAAGAAAAAAAAACAATTATTTACAGTGCTGTTGAAATAATGAAAACAGACGTAATGAATCTACTGTAAAGTAAGTCGCACAAACACAGGAGGAAAAAAAAAAAAGCATAAGAAAAAAAAGAAAGAAAGAAAATTAAGAAACCAGCGAGCGCTCTGTGTCGATCCAGAGACGACAGCCTGTATCAGGAGCTCTGGGCAGACATGGCTAATGTCGAGGGCAGGAGAGTCGGGATCAGGGCAGAGGAGGAGCGGGGAGTCGGACGGGGAGAGGAGGAGGAGAGGAGCAGTAGGACAGGGGAGGGACAGAGGGGAGCGCGGCGCTGTCTTTGTTAAGTTGGGATGATTCCGTCGCTCCTAAGGCCCCGCTTCAGCTCCAGGTCCTCCAGCTTCTTCCACAGCTCCTCCCGTTCCTTCTCCTTCTTCTTCTCACTGGAACACAAAAACACATAAGCATTAAGCACAAAAAAAGCATTAGCTCCAAGTGAAAAAAATAAAGAAATGTTTTTATTGAATCAGTCACTCTAAACGGAAGTCTGGTGCTCTAACTCAAAGTATTTATCAGTGTGGCTTTTCTTTAACCAACATCTAATATTGATCCTGAGACTGACACAGTGGGGTGATAGTAGCACTGTGTGTGTTCCTGTAATGTGTTAAGCAGCTCCCTGGAGGCATCACAAACTATCACATTATTCATGAGTCCCCATCACCCCTGCTGCTGCTGCTGATGATGTGAGCAGCTTCTTACCGCTGGCGGTCCGACTTGTAAGTGGCTGTGAGTTCATCAAATAAGGTACTGTTCATCTCCATGAAGGCCTTCAGTACGTTGTATACCAGCGCCACGATTGCCCTGAGAGGGGAAAAGCACAGACAGAGTAAGACAACTTACAGCGGCACATTTTTATTGCTCCTTCAGACTTCTGTGGTAGCAGACACAGAGCTTCCAGCCTTCATTTTTGGATAAATTATGGAGACATCCAGCGATGTGTGCCCAACTGATTCGCAAACTAACAAACATTTTTTTCCATTTGAGATCAAAATCAAGCCCATTTGTAGATTTTTCCAAACATTCCACATTTATTCTTAAAAACAGGAACATGCTGTTCCTATTAGCACTGGAGTATAACCCTCTTTAAGATCCATATGTGCCCCATGCACCCCACAACAGGCACAGCCAGCTGGCATGTTTCGATGACTGCTTGTGTCTACAAACGTATCTGAATAATATCAACACTTGGCAATAAATTCGGAATAAAACAACCAAAAAACAGGTACACGATAATGAAATATTTTTCAGTAATTTATATTTTCACCCCTGGCCAGCTAAAGTCTAATTTGCTGAAAATCAGGAATAAATAAACGTGCATGCATGTTTTCCTGTGTTAGAGCCCTGACTTTGCCTTAGGAGAGGAATCCTGAGGTGACTAGTAACTTAAATGATCATATGCAGTTTCAACAATCTACTTGTGATCTTCAAATTAACACTAATTCCCAATTGATATCAGTTTTTTAAGCTATATTTAGCTGTTCGGAATTCAGATTTTTCTCAAGAATGTGGACCATTGTAATGCAATTCTGCTGGGGTACAGAGGGTTGTATGTGTGACTCTATTCAGGTCTTGAAGTATACATTTCCTAATGAACATCAGTAGAAAGTGAAAACATTAAGCCTCATCTATTGCACAGAAGTCATGCTACTCACGGGTTCCAGTGCTCTTTGGAGATCCTGTAGAGGCTGGCAAACATGATGGGCAGGATGACGCTGGAGTTCTCCTCAATCAAACTCATGATGTACTCGTTGTTCCAGTAGTAAAGAGCTCGCTCTGCAACCTGGGACAAGACGGACGCACACTAACTGAGCCATGTCTTCATGCCACCAATAACCACTCGTCACTCTTTAATAACCAATAACTGTTTAAGCACAAATGTCCCCCGTGATACAAATTAGGCCACCCCCACCCCACAGGAAACGTAGGCATTGTCACAATGAGTCATCGCTGACCTGGAAATGTGGGCTGGAGACACATCTGGAGATCTGTTTGAAAAGCGGCTCCTGGATCTTGACGAACTGTGTGGGTTCGATGACGTCCAGAATCTCCTCCAGCTCCCCTAGAAACATCACCTGCAGTGCCGTGGAAGAGGGACAATATCAACAACACACAAGATGATGTTTAAAACACACAGTTTTGTTGTTGTTGTTGTTGTTTTGGGGGGTTTTTGCATTTAGCAACAAATGAGCCTCACCTCTTTTTGACTGCAGGTTTTTGGCCAGAACTTCAGTAAGCCTCTGATGACCTGAGAGAAGATGCCACAGTTCATACAGTTGGCTCCTTTTCCCACCCCCCACCCCCCCTTTTTTTTCTTAAATACAAGTATTTGAGTTGAAATAATAATAACAGTAATGTAATTCTTTACATTTCTGACTCTGTCGTTGATGTGAAACACTTTCATGACAAACTGGGAGGGGGAATGAAAAATGAATGTCACACAAAGGTGACTGATAGGAGGAGTTGTGCATAGATACTTACTGGTTCTGTTAATGTTGGGTCTTTCTCTAGGAATTGTACAATGCAATACGCCAACTGTGAGGAGAAGAATCCGGAGGTTAAAACTAACATCACATTAAGCCTCGAGCAAGGCTTACAACAGCAGCTCAGACGTACAAACACAGCAGTGAAAGAGCTTTCAAATGATTTTACTTTTTAAACCACTGTGTTTCTGCTGATTTTCACGGCTGCTGTCAACTATAATATTATTACACATTTAGATTCCTTCCGTGTATAAAAACACACAAACATACACATAAGCTATAGCACGAAAGCACACCTTAAAAAGCAAACAGGATACTTTTCGAGGTTCCAAGTTCTGTTTGTGAATAAACTACGCCTGGGATTCCACCAAATCTAAAGGTGGCAGGCAGATATTAGCTTTTACCCACATACTCTATACACACTATTGTTACCTGTGCATGGAAGAGGGACAGACTCCTGACAGTGTGGAGGGGAATCAACACTTTGACCAGAAACTGTTTATGCTCTGCTTTCAGTGGCAGAGCAAAACCATTGATTATACTGGAAGAGAGAAGGAGGAGACAAAGAGGAAAATGTGAATATAAATTAAACAAGAACACATAAAAGAACTTTATTGTGACCCTATGAAAGCAAGTGGAAGATCAATGAGCTGCAGACCAAAAGAACACTGTTTATACGGGTGATGTGGCCTGGGGAAGAAACACAGACCTGATGATCCTCACAAAAATCGCAACAATCCTGTTTGTTTTACATTGTGTTGTATCAGATTCATGCTTGTTTAAGCGACAGTGCTCCGTGCCTATGCTGTGTGCCAGACAAATGTCAGAGATGTTATTGAATGTATGTGCCAGCAAGCTCTCCAAGGAGAAGCCCGTCTCATTCCCATAGTTGGAGTGTTTCTTCTGGAGTTGGTTTGACTTCATCTAATGTTGGTTGATTGGTTTGTCACGCTCGTCCAGGCTCTCCCTGACAATCAGTTGAAGCTTTGATAGTCAACAACAAAAATGCATGACTGTCAGAGGTCGGACTGCGGATCACGTTCCATGAAACACATCGTGTAATTTGTTATCTGCCGACCTTAACGTCATATACATATCAGTGTTTTCCGCGGGTTAACCCTCTGTTTGTGGCACAAACACACAAGCATGCATTCCTAACTGAGCTACTAAATAATACTTTTATTTTTTACGTTCTTTGCAATTATTTCAATTGGCTCTATTTTGAATGAGTCTCATTGCAGTCCAAAGCTACTGTCTCAGACTGCAGGTGGTGAATGCACCCCTGAAGTCCTTGTTGTTATGCAACCTCGACAACCTTGGCAAAAGGTCACATGAGCCAGTTCTCCAACTTTTTGCAGTTTCTAGTTAGAATGGCCCTCAGCTCACAGTGGAGCTCCAGAGGAGAACAGAGACTGCTGTTGCTAGCTGCAGTCCAATCAGTGTGACCACAGGATGAGATCTTCTCCGAAGAAGCGGCTGAACGATGTGGAAAAATGGTACAAAAGCAAACTCAAAAGAGCTGACGCTAGAGATTGCCTCTCCCAACTTTCCTCTTATTTAAGTTCAAAGTCTGATTACAAAATGTTTTAAAAATGGTCAGAGTGGGCACCCAAATGTTAAGTAATGTCTGTGTAAAACACTGCAGGTTCCAGAGCACTGAAGACGTTCCAAGGAGGTTATCTGGATACGTTTCTGGATATTAAAATATTTTTATTAACAAATAAAGTATTACAGAAAAATGCCCTTTTCTCTGTCTGACCTCAAACAACTCGAATCACAAAGTCAATGTACTTTCTATCTTGTTTCACTGCTTAAAAAGACTGAGATGAGAAATAAATGAATCCTCCTTTCAGCTTAACAAAGTCAAACCGTGCTCCTGGAATTCACTCTGCTCTGTTAAAATCCTGTTTTTATGGAACCTAATCATTCAGCGTTTTAGTTCCATGTCTTTAGCCTCCTTGGGTATCTTAAAAAAAACTAACTCCAGCTTGCCTGATTAAATTAAAGATGTTAAAAAAAAAAATCCTCATTGTTACATCTACAAAACCACAGCAAGATAGCAGAGTTGAGTTGAGTTCTGCTGTCGCTCTCAGGTCTCAGTCACTCAGGCTAAAAGCATCAGCAATAACAGAGCAGAATGTAAATGTGTGTCTGAGGCTCAGAGGCCCCCCACATACCTCCCCAGGATCTCCAGCAACTCAGCCACCCCGTTGAAGTGCTCCGTCTCATAAACAAAACTGCAGACAGACAGAGAGGGAGGCAGACCGAGGAGGAGATGAGAGAAGGCACACGATGAAAAGACAGAAGCACTAAAACTCTCAAAGAATGGCAAAAAACAGGTAATTTGTAAATTAACACAAATAATGACAAAACACACACACACACAAAGAGGAGTTCCAGGTTTGAACCAACAGCCACAGATATTTCTAACATCCTTCTCATCCTTTGGCTGTACAAATAATCAGAACAGAAGCAGAAGAGTCTCCGTAAACTCTCAGTGTAAGCTTGTTTGCAGTAAGCGCATACTTTATTCATTTACACATTCAGCAGACACACAGTGCCATGATCACTTATTCTGGGGTGGGTTTCTCCACGTTTGAGTCCCATATTCTCTTTATTGTGGCCTTTACAAACTTCTGAGGAACACTGACACAAATGTAATTATATTAAAGGAAAAACCGTCATCGGCTTTCAACAGTGTCATTGTGCCTGGGTACTGACTCTATAGATGGCAGGGATAAACTTCGTTCTTCTGAAACATATTTTGTAATTTGGATTTTGGATGATTGTGAGAAAGAACAGAAAAAGAGTGAAAAAGAAGGTGTAGAAGAATAAAGTGAAGAGGAACATCAAAGGGAAGGTGAAGGGAAGGTGAGGAGGAAGAAAAACAAGATGAAAAAAGGTGATGAAAGTGAAGAATGAGGTGAAAAACAAGGAAGAAGGTCAAGAATTATTATAAGACGAAAAAGGGGAAGGAGATGATGATGAAGAGGACATAAACTTCCACGTGATGTCACCAACAGGAGAAATCAGGTTGGGACACTAATCAGAGTTGTCATTTTTCACATGCATCACACAGCAGGAGACAGTCCACTTTAGCTGCGTTTCCACTAATAGAAATGTTTGGTTTATGGAGGAAATGTGACCCACTCATATGACTTCACTGAACAATTAGCTGCTCTATTCTTGCATACGATCCAATCAGAAGTTTGGTGCAGGGTGCAGGACTCAGCCTGCTTAACAACATTTGTGCTTTCTGGCATTTGTTGGTGATGTCTACGAAAACTCGGGGCTGCTGTGCATGTGTGCAAAGGGCGTAGGACATTGGTCCATATTTCCCACAGGTGTTCAGCTGACAAGACCATAGCTTACAGCTCACATCATTTTCACTTGAACAGCACCGTCATCCAGGAGAACAGGGTACACATCATAAGATGAAGGAGATCGCTCAGAACAAGTCTGTATTGATTTTCAGTGACCTTTTCCTATAAGGTGAGAAGTGGAGCAAAGCTCTGCCAGCAAATATTCTCTACTGAATAAGAGAGCCATCTGATCCCCTCACGGCAGACATCAAGAATTCAGCTCTTTGCTTTTATTTGTGAGCCTTGTCTATTCGAATTTTTAGCTCCACTCTGTTGACTGGCAACTTTCTACCGTGGCTTCCTTTTTATCGTGAAAAAAATTCCACTCACATACAAACACAAGCTTTTTCCAGCCCAGACATCTGAAGAATTCATGTTTACTCACCGTAGAAAAATATTATTGATCTGTTTTCGTATAAAAGCCCTCAGCCCCAGGAATTTGCCGTAGATTCTATGCAAGACTGTCTTCAGATAGTCTCTCTCCCGAGGGTCCTCGCTGTCAAACAACTCCAAGAGCTGGACACAAGGTGAGGGGGGAGAAAAGTCAATTTTAGGGAGTAAGGCAGAAAAAAGCAACGTGCCTTAAAAGCAAAGAAAGATACGAAAACGCTAAACTGACAGTAAAGAAGATGATGAAGTAGAAAAGCAGAATTCTGAAGGTGACGCAACAACTCACCTGTAGGACAAACTTCTGGTCTATGTACTTTTTGGCAATGCTGGGCTGGAATTCCTGACTCTCCAAGAACCGAATGAAGAACTCGTATACCAACTGGAGAAAGAAACACGGTTGATAAAGAATTCATGTTAACCTCCGACGCAAACAAAACTTTGTTTCACATGATAACAGGTGGAAAAGAATAGAAAAGTCCAAAGGCTCATCGCTTCTTCTCAGATATGAGTGCATTGAATTAAGCCCATAAATACTCAAACAGAACTGGATTAAAGGGAGAAACGGCTCAAAAGTCACAAAAAGCAGAGTAATCTGGGATGAGCAAGGTAGAGAAAAAAAAAGTCCATTTAAGTTAAATGGAGTTTAAATGTATATTCTGGGAAATATCATCATCCATTTTTCCATATAAGAATGAAATAACCACTCTCACAACCATCATAAGACTAGAAGCATGGGGGCACTGCTAGCCTGCTTAGGGCAGGGATAGCTCAGTAGGTAGAGTGGTGGCCCCATGATCGGAACGTCGGGGGTTCGATTCCCCTGAACAGCTACCCTGAGGTACCCCTGAGCAAGGTACCGTCCCTACACACTGCTCCCCGGGCGCCCAATGGCTGCCCACTGCTTCACTGAGTGAATGGGTTAAATGCAGAGAGCGATTTTCCCCATGGGGACCAATAAAGTACACTTTCTTTCTTCTGTTTGAGATTCAGCAACAGGCCTGCAAACACCTCTAAAGCTCACTAATTAGAGTGATACAGCTCTTTCATGTATTATGTATTCAAACACAACAGTACAATTTGGTCTTGCTCTTGTAGGCAGCCACATATTAAACACCCTTCTCCACATGTGGACTTTCCAGGGCACACCTCCACCCCTCTACCTGCTGCCAACTTTCACATCAAATCACATCATTATCTGCAAAGCTACGGTCCACAAAGACTTTCTGCAGGCCTGCTGCCTTAATGCCATCCTCACCTGATCCTAGCCAGTTCCTTCCATTTTATGATTTCCTATCTCAGGATAGTCCAACCTTCTCTACTTCCAGCTTTTCAGCACACTCTCTTCACTTCTCCATCACCTTAACTTGTGGTACAACCTTCCCAGCTTAGCGCCTCCTCGTGTTGCCACATTTCTTATTAAACACTGCATCGTTTGCTCATCCCTGTATTCCCTCCTTTTAGATTCCTAAACTTTCTCCTTACATCTCAAGACTCCTTGACACCCTTCCTCCAACTAGATCAAACACCTGTATCATAATAACTGCCTCCTTTGGTTGGCCATCTTTCCCATAACTCTCCAGTACTACTTTGCTCTTAACTTCCTCCTGAACTCTACCCACCACTGCTCTTGCTTCAGCCTGTTCTAAGGAGCTTTACCTGGCAACTCACTAATAACTGCACAGAAATGTGGGTATATAGACAAACTTAGCAGACGTTAGTAAAGAAATTACACCAAAGTACCCCTAAAGGGTTGTCATTGTACACACACACACACACACTTTACCTGTAAGTGTGGCCAGGAGGCCTCAAGTGTGGGCTCATCCTCTTCAGGGTCAAACTCGTTACTGTCACTGGGCGGAAGGGTCCGGAATATGTTGTGAGACACCTGGAACAAGAAAGCGGGAACTTCAATCCAGTGACTGGAAATTGGGGTTCTGACCCAGCATATAGATGATAACTGCTGTTTACATGAGGGATGCTTCAATGCAGGGAACTGTTCCCTCGTGTCTAAAGTCTAAATCTTATGTACACGTAAACATTTTAACTGACACTAGGTGTCAGTTTAAACAACTTTCCAAAACCACATTTCAATTCATGCCTTAATATTTGAGCCTCTGCTTCAGTACTTCAGTTTTTCTTCGAACACTTTCTTCGAGTGGATTGACAGGGTTAAAATTTAACAAAACATTTTTTGGGGAATTATTACACACAACCATGGACATCCTTGTCAACTATTCTGATGCATTTCTCCATTGAACAATCTTCAAACATTGCATCTTTAACCAGACCAGCATGCTTTAAATCTGGCAAGAAGTCAGAAGTCTCACAATCCTCACTGCAGCATCTACATGTATATATGTCTACACTTCAGCTTTAGAGTACTTAATTATGTGTTCATAGTCTACTAGGTAACAAAAACTACCATGAAGCAGTACATTTAGCCACATACAAAGCAAACCTAACAGTTTAGTTTAAACCACATCAGTCCAGATGTGTGTGACAGGTGATACATTAGATTCACTAAGAATAATACAATGAATTACAATGCTGTCCACATGTATGTCTCTTCTTAATGAGACCGACTTTGTTAACTCTTATCAAAGAGTTGTCATCAGGCAGAAACCTCTGAAAATAATATTGTGCTGTGTCAGTTTTTCTAAATGTCCATTAGACCAGTATGTTTTCTGTCTCAGCACAGGACTGCTTCTTTTACAGTACCTGCATGTACTGCAGCAGACCTTCAGTTATGACTGTCCTCAACGGCCTGAAGATATACTCTGTGGAAGGCTCCAAGTAATTAAACATAATAACAACTTGGTGCACTAGGTTAAAAAAAATATTAGCTTTGAGTACTTCAGGGCCTCTGTTCATTGTGGGGTCTGTGTTCATTAGCTGAACATACGTAGCTGCCAACATGCACACCAGCTCCTGTTCTGCTCTTATTTTCCTCCTGTGTATCTGCTCATCTCCTATGTGTCTGTACACAGAGCACTCAAAAATCACTGCTATGCCCCTGCTGAGCTAGGAAAAGAGGGAAGCAACATTTCAACCACACAGGATTAGTTATTTATTCTTTAGTAGTAGACTTTACATACTAAACCCAAAAAATGGACGTCCCGTGGGGCTGGATAGGGTCTGTGGCTGCTGCCAAATCAAAGAACAGAACTAAAAGTGAACTAACATAGCTCATAAATTTGACTGACCTACAAGAGAGAAAACGAAAAACAACTACAACTACTCCTTCCCTGAGAAAAGAACACAGCAACACCCACTCGCCTGCTCTAGTGAGTCTAACTAAAGAATCCAAGCATCAGACTGAAGCTGAATCAGTTTCCTCCCACTGAATAATGACAAGTAACAAATTTAAACAGAACATTTTCACTATGTCCACTCACACCTTTACACCATCAGTGCTGAGGGCTGCAGGGGGCCGACATTTTCCAGCCGTGAGACAAAACATGACTGCACAAAAAGACGACTGGGAAAAGTGAAATCTAATTATTACAAAGAAGCTTTTCTTTAAGAAGTAAGCTTTGACCCAAAGGAGGCACACTATGCAAACATGTCTGTCAGTACTCATTTTCAGCACCATTGGCTTTACACACCAACACTACCTACAAGGGCCACACAGCACTGCCCCATCAATGACTCGAAATTTCAAGGTGCATGCTACCTTAATGTTTCACATGTGTCAAAAGACAGTAAAATTCTTTAGATATGGGGATGACACGCTAAGACAGGAAACATCTCCAGACCCCACTGACAAAAACAGACATTTTTACCTCATTAAATGTAATAAAATTTACAGTTTTTAGTACCTGCTCCAAAGAGGTTACAATTTTGGTAGCACTCTGAAAAAAACGATAGATTGTAAAGTTTTGAATGAATGGCGAACAGTCCATTAAAATTTAGATTCCATCCACAAGGTGCTCAAGGTCAGCTTAATGATATATTGGTCAAAAATTGACAAAAGGGCTTTGTGCAGACAAACCAACACCCATCACTGCAAACTTTCCTCCATCTTTGAGATGAAGATGGTATAAAGTTGTGAGTGGACATGGCGAAAACAAAAAAAAAACTGAACTTCAGTGTTCTGTACAGACAGAGTGCAAATCTACTGTTTACGCAGAATGGGCAGATTCATTCTTTCTTACCATTTTCACAACCTCGGGGTAGGCCTGTTCTGTCAGGTAGCCCCGGCTTACGGTCACGTAGTCCACCAGCTCGTTGAGCGTGGAGCGCTTGTACTCCTTCATCTTGAGGTCTGACAGCGTGTCCATGAAGTCAAAGACAGTACAGCACTGCTGCAGCTTCTTCAGGAACAGCTCCGGCTGCTCCGCCGCCGGCACGTCTAGACAGGCAAAAGCAAACACAGGGGAAAGAGAAAGATGATGACAAAGGTTAGATAAATTGGTAAAGACACATATCTGGAGCGAGCAGATGCTTCTGACTCCCGCAGCTACCAGAAAGCTGTAATAGCAAACACCACATGGTCAAAGACGAGAGTAAAAACAGGGATTTGAGCAGACCTGGTGGGACAGAGGCCTGACGCACAAATAACCACATTAATATTTATTGATTTATTTTTTCATTACCATTTTATGAGAAAAGCAATTAATGGTCATGGTCAGGATTCTACCCTTTGAAACTAAAAACCTGCTTTCTCCATGAATTTACAAACTAAACAATTAGCACAGCAAGTTGTTGGTAATGAAAACCATTTTTAGCCACATTGAGATCAAGTTATACTTTCTTTACTTCTTAGTCAATTGTCTACAGGCAGATTGGGTTAAAGACACATCCAATACCATGTAGTAGTTAAACTGTTACTGATCTGCCCTCATCTCGTGCTGATTTTGTCGCTTCCTGAATCACCTGTTTTAATATTTGGAGCGAAAGCAGAGCATCTCTGTTTGGTGTAAACACAAGATGAAGTAGGTGGGTAGTTACAGCCACAAAGAAGAAAATGTGTGACTTTGCCTAGAAGAAGAAATCGGAGTTTCCGAGCTCTCCAATAGATGTTCACGGAGGACTGTTCAAAAGAAACGAAGGATGCTACCAGTGCATGCCTCAGTTGTAAAAGTGTGCTTCTTGCTCTGCAACAGCTTTTAACTTATTCATCTTCCCTGCAGACCCCTGTCTGCACAGGCAGGATGAGTGTGACAGCCTCATTATCCAGCAGCGAGTGTTTCTGATGGGAGAGGCAACGCTGTCACGAATTGTATGGATGTGCAGGCAGAAGAAGGCGGCAGGTGTCTTTATTCTGATCCCACTGTGACAGACACGACAAGAAGGTCGCACAGAGTTCAGACCCGCGGGGGAGATGAGCAACAATCTTCCCAGATCGCCACAACTCAAGACCCGGTGCTCTCAACCCGGCAGGACTGGGCCATTATTATGTAAGAGATAAGCTGCTGCTCTGAAGACAGCACACTGCTACTACTGTGCATGTGTGCGCTCCACAATTACACTTCAAAGCGCTTGGCTGCATTTTGAATTCTATTGCTACTGACGATGAGTCACAATATACATGTAAATGAGCGAGAAAGTTCGGGAGTACCGGTGAAATGACTTTTTCACCTCACCATAACATGCAGGTTTTGTGACAGTGAGTAGTGATTCATTATTTTACCCCTGAAATACTTCATTTTTCCTTTTCATTTTTCAAACCAAATAATAGACTGAAAGAAGGAAATATGCCTATTTTATAGAAAGAAATGCAAAAATTTTTTTGCATATTTGTTGATTTCACTGAGCTCTCTCACTTAAGCAGGCCCTTTCCAGTAGTAGAAATAGTGAAAAGCACTGATAAGCGACATACAGATACACAAACTGTTACATCAAGTCTAGTTTTAACTACAAATCATTATGAAAACAAAGAGAAATTCAATGCGATGCCTTCCTTTAACGTGCTTCCTGTCAGTCTGTGGCAGCTCCAGTTTAGCCTAAACTAAGATGACTTTAGTCAACAAAATCCAAATCCAATTCAGCTTTGTAAAAACTCTGACAAGAGGGGAACTAATTAAAGTTCAAGGACACATGATGTGTGAAGCGTCTATACATCGGTGTTGCTGTTATGAAGAAGCAATCACTGTGAGGCTGAATAGTGCATAAACTGTTTGTATGGCAGAGAAGCAGAATCATATTAACGTATGACCAGAATACTTCAGCTGTGCTGTAAGCATCCTGTGCAGCAAACCTCAACATCCTGTTAGAAATAAAAAGGGTTTAAAATGTCTTCTACTTTACTTCCTTTAAATAATATTAACTTGGGAAATTAGAAAATGATCTGCGGCTGAAGAAACATAATTAAACTTCTGTATAAATGGATGATTTGGTTCATTCTTCCTTTTTTGTCAGCTCATTACAATGAATGGCTAAAATCCTCGTCCTGAAGCTCTGACCGTTTAAAGAGAAAGTGCAGTTTCCTGTCCTGGGGAAAAAAAGTCCTCTGCAGATTTCCTTGAGCGCATTTAAAGTGATTATGCTGAATGTGTTTTGATCCAAATGCCACTAGTTACTCACGACCTGCTGGCCTCCCGCTTTAGCTCAGCTCATTGAGGATGCATCCAACCGGGCCAGTCACAATCAAACCCAAACCCTGGCTGACTGGCAGCAGTCCTAATCCCTGCTCCACTAACTTCCACAATAAACGTTCATTTATCAGAGAGAATGCACAGCAAACTGATTTTAGCTGAATTCTTCACGTTTGGTTGAGACGTTACAACACACGCAAAAATATTCTTATCCTGCCAAGTTTACTCAGCGCTCCAAATAGCCCACAAATTGTGCTGCAGTCTTATTGTACACATAAGAGGGATTCATTCTTTTCTGCTCAAATTAAACAATCTGCTTGATAAAGAACATCAGAAATTAAGACAACTAGAAGATTCATTTGCACTACTTTATTGCGTTGCTGACCCCAGGGATGACCTGGTTTTGTGGTGTTTCAGCATCCATTTCTGTTCACTGCTTTAGCTTAATGGCCTGCAACACAACCCTTATTTGCTCACTCTTATCACTCATCAGTGTTGGATTCAGCAGTAGCAGACGGCAAACCCAAATAAACCAGCACACACAGTAACACAGTAAACAACTTTCCTGGTCTCTCTAGGTGAAGAACGAAAGATTTTTTGGGCTAAAATAATGGTGTGTCCTCCGTGTTCTATCCCTGCATGTTCCTCTCCACATCTAAACCTGTTCCTTTAGATGAGAAGAAAAAAGGGCAGGTAAAGATTGTCCTACGTCATGTCTGTGTGTATGTAGTCTTCTCTTTGAACACATAACTGCAAAACAGGAGAGTAATATGGCATCAAAGTGGTCCCTCTTCTTCCACGTCATGTGTTGCATGTGAAACACCCTTCATGTGCATGCCTATGCATCGTGAAATATGAACTGTGGGCTGGAAAAACGTGCATGCATCTTTATCAAGAAGGTTTCATCTGTCACATTGTTGTGTAATATGCATATGGGTGACAAGGCTGTATACAGAGGACAATGTTCAAGAAAGTGCTATACAGTGTATAGTGAGGGCAGAGGGCAGTGTGCAATACAAGAATAAATATGCTGATCGGGCAAAACATGCCTGATACTGTTTTGGTGCCTCTCTTAATACCAAAACAGCCCTGTCCTCTGAAGATGCACCTTGGTATCTAGCACGATCTAGCCAGATGTTAGTAACAGTGCTGTAAGACGGTAGCGTCTGAGAAATCTGGAGGCCAAGTCAACACTTCAGAATTGTTGTGCTCCTCAATCCATTGCTGAACCATTTGTGCTTTGTGGCAGAATGCATTATCCTGCTAAAAGAGGTTTTCCATGAAACGGTGTACATGGTCTGCAACAACACTTAGGGAGGTTGTATGTGTCAAAGTAACATCCACATGTGAGGTAGGACCCAGGGTTTCCCAGCAGAACACTTCTGCCGGCTTGCCTTCTTCCCATAATCCATCCTGACTCCAAGTGTTCCCCAGGTAAGCAACACATAGTCACCTGACCAGCCATGTGATGTAGAAGAAATTCTGATTCATCAGACCAGGCCAGTTCTCACATGCCCATCAGTGCTTTTTATAATTTCTGCTGCCATCACCTTTTATGGTGGTGGACAGCATGGGCACCCTGACTGCTCTGCACCTATGCAGCCTCATACACCACTGTGATGCACTTTGTGTTCTCACGCCTTTCTATCAGACCTTTTTGGCTCCCCACATGCATCAATGAGCTTTGGTTGCCCATGAACCTGTTGCTGGTTCACCACCGTACCTTCCTTGGACCACTTTTGACGGATACTGACCGCTGCAGAACGGGAACACCCCAGAAGAGCTGCTATTTTGGAGATGCTCTGACTGAGTCGCTTAGCCATCGTAATTAGGCCCTTGTCAAATTCGCTCAAATCCTTACACTTACCCATTTTTCTTGCTTCTAACACATCAACTTTGAGGACTGAATGTTCACTCGGTCCGTGATATATCCCACCCACTAACAGGTGCCATGATGAAGAGATAACCATTGTTATTCACTTCACCTGTCAGTGCTCATAATGTTATACGTGATGGGTGTATATCTGAGGTTCATCACCCCAGTGGCATCAGAAGAGAGCTCTTTCTTAGCCTCTGTATTTTATGTTTGGCTGTGTATGCGCATGTAGTCCAATTTGTTGCACACCACAGCAAAAAAACAAAAACAAAAAAAATGTTCTTGCTTGCTTTGTGTGTACTCCTGCACTCTTTGGTGTGTATGTGTGAGTCCTTCCTCTCAGTACAGCAGTGTACAGTATGCTGTACATCATTACTGTAATTACCCGCTTCACAATTCGGGGTCGGATTGTGTTGGAGAGCCCGGGGCCTCGGAATCCTGCAACTCTGCTTCTGTTGAAGCATGTGAACAGCCTTAAAGGAAGCTATTAATAGACAGATAATCACAAAGGACAGAGTAATCCCTCCACACAGACAAAGCGAGGGGGCATAGCTAAACGGCTTGGAGCTAGCTGAGAGACTACCAGGGTGAATGAGGGGAGAGAAGCAGAGAGAGCTAGAGACACACTGTGCATAAAAATGTGTGCAACTGTACTTAAAAGTATGTGAGAGAATGCGCACGCACGTGTGTGTGGCCTAGGATAACCCAGAAACCACCCTGATATTGCGCGCACACATATAATCTCAGTTAGGCCCAGAAATCAGCACAAAGAGCAGCCTGTGGTGCAGCTGTATATGAAACCTCTGAAAGGGGTCCCAGAGAAGGTTATTCTCTGTGTGTATGTACATCAGAGTGGATATCAACAAGTAATCTTCTGTAAAAACAGCCTAAATGATGGAGGGGAAAAAAGAAAAGAAGAAGAAGAAGCAGCAACAAACC